ATGAGAGAGTTTTTTAGTAGGATGAGAGAGTTTTAGGGCTGGTTTGGGATACCTAAAAAAAATTAAAAAGTCAAAAGTTATTTAAAAAGTTAAAAAGTTATTACTATTCATAAAAAAAAATTAATTTTACACACAAATTATTACAACACAGTCTGAGCAATCCCATAGACTATTGCTGAGTTGCTGAAAGGATTTGGAAAAATTGCACAGGCAGTGTGTACAAACAACACAGCGTTGTTCGGCCCGTGGAGGCCATCACAGGTCTTGTTTTGATAATCTGAACCGTTTAATATGTAGAACTTGTCGAGTATTATATGTCTGTAAAAAATTACGTTGATCGCATATCATTAACTACATGATTGAATCAGTTTTGTATAAAAAAAATGAATGGTGTTATAGTTAACGGTTAAAAAAAATAATCCGATCAGATAACTATCGATATTCGATCAACGTGATTTTTTCGTAACCTAACTGCCTACTGTCCTTATCTTCTCCTACACACTAATTTATACAATTTTTTAATACACATTTTTTCATAAAAAGTCAAAAAATTAATCTAAACAATCATATTTTTTTCTCAACTTTTTAATCTAAAAATTTAAAAAATACATTTATTTAAGACATCTCAAACAACCCTTTAAATATGCCATACCAAAAACTTGGCATGATGAAAGTACGTAGGAATAGGCCACGACAGCTTGTCCTTGTCCTTCAATCCTAGGCTTTGTTCTCCTTTCAAGATGTTACTGTCAAAACTGCAGTATATACTCTGAACCATGTTTTGTATTTTCAAGGCTGCGATATTACGTAGAAATCTATATATGCGCCACTAAAAACAGGCATACAGTAAGAAAGTCACAAGCCTTGTTTGGTTTGTGTTTCTTAAAAATTTTGAGAAAAATTTTTTACAAATAAGTTTTTAAAAGTAATTAAATTAAATAAATTTTTCTAAATTTTTTTTTTCAAAACTTGTTTGGTTTACAAGTTTGTCAAACAAATCTCTCTCATACACATCAAATCAATCACTTTTTTCAAAATTCTCTCTCAAAATAATTTTTCAAAACATCTTTTGAAAAAAAACCAAACCAGACAAATTTTCGTACTTTTTATTTCAAAACATGTTTCTCAAATACAAACCAAACAAGTCCATAATTTTTCCTAGTAAAAATTATAAATATTTATAGTGCGTTACGAATAGTGAGTCCATAATGTGTATTTTGAAAGTAAAAATTATAAATTATTATGATTATATTATGAATGTTATAATTATATTATGAATGATGCGTAAATATTACGAAGTAATGGCTAAGAAATATTACCAATCATTTTAGTGAAAAAAAGTGACGACTTGTTACGATGTTTGTTATACGCACCATTTTTGCAGCATCCCAAAGTTATTGGTGCCGACTGCCATGTGGAGAATTTTAAGCAAAGGTAAGCAAACTTTTTTTTTATTTGTTTGTGTGTATCTTTCCTCTTTCTTTTCTTACTTCACCGGGAATTTATAATTCAAAATATAGGTTTGAATGACAAAGCAATAAATGTTTCAGCATCAGTTCTTCCTGCAAAACTCAATTCATCAGCTACAGGGATCATGATAGCTATGCACTAGACAAATGCAGCTTTATGCACGAAAATAAATGTGAAAGGTTGTAACTTATGAAGTACCGATATTTTCAAATAAGGGGTTGTTTGAGATGAGTTAAATAAGTGTATTTTTTATTTTTTTATAAAAAAGATGTACAAAAAAATAGAAAAATGATGTGATAAAAAAAAATAAAAATATAAAATGATTGATTATTTTAGTGTTGACAAACTTAGCCTAACTGTCATAATTTTATTGGGCACGTAAACATAGTAGAGACACATAGACATAGTGGGATATGAGAACACGGCAGGAACATGTTGCATGACATGTTTTCTTATTTAATTAATTTATTTTTAAAGAGTACGTCAGAAATACATTAGGGACATGTCAACTTGTCTTTTTTTTTAATTTTTTTTAGTGATTTTGATTTTAATGAATGTTGGATGATGAATGAATGCATATTATTCTTTTCTTAAATTTAAATACTTAATAGATCATCTATGAAAAAAAGATATAAATTGTAAGTGTTAATTTAATTTTTTTTTAAAAAATAAAGAATTAAAGTTAATTTTTGTAAATATTGATTGTTTGTATATAAAATATTAATCAATATAGCAAATAAAAATATACGAAAATATATTTTATTATCATGTCCCCGACATCTCTTTGTCTCTGTCCTCATTTTTTTGAAATCACCGTGTTCTGAGTCCGAGTCCAAGTCTGTGTTCGTGTTTATATCTGTGTCCGCATCCGCATCCGTATCCGTATCCGTCAGTAGCGACTCTAGGAATTTTTGTAGGTATCAGGATCCTCTAGAGTTAGATTCCCTGAAGTGATCTCTGAAGTGAGTGATCCAACGGCTCAAAATAAAATTAAACAAAACGACGTCGTTTTGGTTAATAATTTCAAAAAAAAAAAAATTAATTCAAAATTTCTGCAGATCTGATATGAAGCATTTCAGAGAGAGAGAGAGAGAGAGAGAGAGAGAGAGAGAGAGAAAAGGGGGCTGAGTTTTAGATTTCCATCACCCAAACCCACACCACCCACTGTCGCCCCCTTCTCTCCTCATTCCTCTCTTCACTCGCATCTTCTTTTCTTCTTCTTTCATGTTCTTCATCTGAAGTTCATGGCCATGGATGACACCTTCAGGAAGTTCTTCTCAGGAAGTTTTTTCATCTGAAATTTTTTTCAGGAACTTTGGTGAAAAATTTCAGATGAAATTAGTTTGGTGAAATGTTTTTTTCATTTGAGATATTCTACACCGTGGAGGAGATGGAGATATTCTTCTCAGGAAGTTTGGTGAAAAATTTCAGATGAAATTAGTTCTTCTCAAGAAATTTCAGATGAAATTAGTTCTTCTCAAGAAGTTTATGGCCATGGATGACACCAAATCCATTTTCATTTGGGTTTCTCTGCAAATCCACCTATTTTCTTCATCATCTCTCAAACCCATCAAAACTTTTGCAAAATCTCTGTTCTTGAAGCTTCTTGAAGAATAGAGATTAAAGTGAGTTTTTTGAAGAATAAAGATCCAAAAGCTAGAAAACATGATTTCAAAAAATTAGATCTCTGCAAAAAAAAAAAAAAATCGATCTTTGCAAAATCTTATTTCCTCAGCTCTCTCCCCTTCTCCCTCTCGATCTGCAAACTGCAAAAAAAAAAAATTTTTTTTTTGGGTTGGCCACCAAAACGATCTTGTTTTTTGCGAGGAATTATCTCAGCCATTAATTCCATTAATGAGACACATGTCGGGCCATAAAAGACCACTCTAGAGGATCACTTGAGGAAATGACTCTAGAGGATCCAGACGCTTTTTTGTAGATGGGATCACTTCACACGCTTAAGTTTCACAAATTTTATAAAATGTTTCTTTTTATTTTATTTTTAAATTAAACATCATCCATTTTGTTTGGTTTTGATTTTTGAAAGTAGTTTTGAGTTTTTTATTTTTCATATTTTGTTATCTTCATGAATTTTTTTTTTACATTTTATTATTTATTAATTTATTTTTTTTAGATGCACATAACTTAAATGTACCTATAAAGTAATTGTTTATAAAAAAAATCTAAAAAATTTCAATAAATACACACAGAGAAAAGAAAAGAAAATGTATTGAACTTTTGTATTTACTTTAAAAAAAAAAAAAAAAAGCTCACATTTTTTTTTTACTTTTTAAATGTAATTAGATTAAGAGGATTTGAAAAGTTAAAAAAAAAAAAATCATTAAAATATTTTAAAAATTCACTTTAAAAAAAAAGAAACCTCAAAAACTATTTTTAAAAACTGTTAATCAACGGAGTGATTTAAACTTCTCAAATAGTAAGTGTTTAATGGGTGTGGATTCCTATTTAATAGGGTCCCTTAATTTTTTAATAGAAATAAACCATATTCAATAAAATATTAGCAATATAAATATATATTTTTTTCAAAGAATGTGTAGTAGGTTGATGGGGTCATGGGACCCCATAACTAAGCATATGGACTTGCCCCTGGTATCCGTGTTCGTGCTGCTTATTTTGGGTAAGTAAATGGAAATCCGCTATTTAGAAGCTGATCTCCTAACATGCCTATGACATATATAGTTGAAATGCTTTTCAAATGAACTTACATAAGTTTCTGCCATAGAATGGCAGAACTGTATGTTGTGGAACAAGCTTACAACACGCCTCAGCACGATAATCTGCTGATTTGTCTGCAAAGTTTGAACCACTGAAATGAGAACCTCAAGACAAAACAAAAAAGAAAAAAGAATTACATTTTCATGATCCACCGACTATAAGCTAGACACTATGGTTATAAAAGGTTATAGATCATCAACACAAGGCATGGACAGAATTGACCAGAGGTAGTGATAGAATTCCTGTTACCCATACATACCCATCAAAATTGGCCAGTCTTTTAACCAATGAAGCTCTTCCTGAAAAGGTCATTAGATCTTGAGAGCCAATTAGTAGGTAAAAATTGGAGGCACATACAGAAATATGGTTACATAATAACCTTGTTGCAGATAAATTTTATCTAAATCAGAAAGGTAATAAATCCAGTGTGTTCTTCAGAAATCCTGTTATCTACCAATGCTTCAATAGAAATGAGGTCCAAATTGCTTCTGATGTGTCAACTAGTGAGCACAAAAGAATAATAAGTTGATCTTGGATTCTTTTCTGAACAAAATCAAAGCTATGAAGTCTTCTTGAAAGCTTTATGCATAGAATGCAAGTTTAAAGGTTGAATTTATAAGGAAGAAGAAGAAACTAGACTTGCCATTTTGAAGGTATGAAGAGCCTGAACTTGCCCTTGATCCCCTTCAGAAGTCGTGATCAATGGAGAAAACCAAGTGAACAACAATTTTAAATTACATTTGCGTATATAAGAATTCCCAAATGCTAGAATTTGAAAGATTAGAAGGAAAAAATGAAAGAAAGAAAGAAAGACCTCTCTGGACGAACTAATCATCCATTACAGCAATGTGTTGTCTGCTATAGAAGCTTTCAACAAGAAATGGTTACATTGTCCGTGTAAGAATTTGATGTTACAGTGTTGTCTATCGTTAAATCGTAGTACATGATCTTTACGATAAGAGTATATAAAATATGTGAAAGCTTACTTACCCAAAGAAAAAGATGAAAATAAAAATGAACACTATATTACTCCTAATAGCCCAATAATAATGGCCAATGGAAGACCATCTAAAACCTTAATCTGGCGTATACAAATCGACTGCTTTTTGCCAAATAATAATGAATCACAAGAATTGCTTACACTATGTAGGTTTGATTTGACCTCTTTGGACCACGTTTTCTTCTTGGGTTGGCACTGATCATGCAAGAGAAGGCGTTGACAAGCTCAGAATCTTCTTCAGTAATCAGAACTTTGGCTGCACTAGGGTCAGCAAGGAGGAGTTTTGCTACAAGATATCCAGCAATTGACCAGGTCTGGAACAACTGCGCTTGTTTTCCAATGAACCTTGCCCGTTTGGTGTCATAATATTCAGGCCATTTGTCTTTCGATATGCGCTTCTCTGCAACCTCAACTGCTTTTGCCGCAATTTCTGGTCTATTCATCTTAATGCATGCAACAGTGAGCTGCAAAAGACCAATTACAGATATTACACCATATTTTATTATAATTTTAACCAATTTGAACTGGAGTACTAAACTATGCTAAAACTAATCTAAAATAAACAGAACTCCATTTAACCATAATTTCTGTATCATCAAAAAGATGAAGCAGATTTTCCATGTACACAAACCATTCACCAAGTGAAAATGGTTATTATCATCCAAACAGGTTGGCAGTTGTCAACGATGCGTTTTTAGATTGATATCCAGAATATATGTGGAACAATGGTGCAGAACTGCAGATATTAAAATGGGTCTTTTATTAAATTCAAACAAAACATTGTGTATGTCACATCAAGAAAGAGTTCAAAAAGTAGGTTTTATTAAATTTTATAAACCATAAAAATAGACGAGATAAATTGATTCTATTGCATTTGACGGCAGTACCCCATCGAAATCTTAGTAATCAATAATAATAAGTGAGTAAAGACAAAGTGCTTACTAGCACATCCACAACATAGTTGTCATGTGCAAGCATGGGCATGCAGAGACAAAGTAACGATAAAACTGAAATGTCGTCAATTCTTGAAATCCTAGAAAAAATCATAAAATTAAAAAAAATGAATGAAATAAAAGGCTATGTGAAGTTTCATCAAATTAGTCAGACAGTTAAAGAAATACCCCAACTGGTTTGCTGGGTAGAATGGACCCTGGGTTTCAATTCTGCCCTTGGAGGTGGTACTACTAAAATCATTAACACCTTAAAAATGCTATGTAAAGACAGTACAGCTACTATGTAAAATATGGGAAATAATTTAAAAAGAAAGTCAAGAAAGTTCAGGCCGCCAGCAGGTCATTTGTTATAAAGATTGAATTTACAAACTGAATCCAACTGTAGTTGGAATTAGAAATGAGTCAAAATAGAAGGAAGCCGTGACCCACCAAAAGTTGGAAATGAATTTATGCTGGTTATAAACCAATTTAATGCAGTAATAGGCCCCAAACCCACCATAGATTGGCTTAAGCATTAAATTGAATTAACCAACTAAAGACAGCAATAAAGCATAAGCATTTAACACAACACTCAACCTGCCACAGCAAAGTTGGCCAGGAGCCTGCATTGTGGTAAGACCAAGGACTGCACCAAAAATCACAAGAAGGACGGTAAGATGCAATTAAAAAGAGAAAAGAAAACACACACACATAGTTGAACGATGAAAAAGTATATCATTCTTCAAGGAAGAAATATTACGTGTTCTTTGGATCACTGCCTGTGATAATCTGCCACTCCTGACCTTCAAGAGCAGGGTAACATATCTTGAATGGCATCCCTGCTACCAAATCTTCCCATTTAGCTTCAACGAGATCCAATATTGCGTGTGACTGATCCACTGTCGCAAGACTGCTCACCACGGACCACAAGTTTCCCAGAGAGAAGAAACGGAAATCCATGTGAGCAGGTTGCAAGTTTCCAATTAAATAACCTCCTCTATTAGGCATCCATTCCACCAGCCAAGGAGAAATCTGATCCGGGTAGATATTGAACTTGTTAACAGCATCATATGAGTACTCTTCTGTTTTGTAACGGTAAATCTCGTTGAGTTTTCTCATATCAATCCAATAATATTCTCTAATATGGAACGATAATGCCACAAGACGATTGTTTAGTGCTCGGATTAGGTCAGCTGATCCATCCTCTGGAGCAAGCATCTCACGTGCACTAAGTAATGCTGAATAAAATAATGCCTGCAACAATAGGAAACACCATGAAGAAACAAAAGGAACAAGAAAGACATAAAGCATGTCGTCATGGTTGAGAAGGTCAAAATTTTCTCTTACAAGACATAAATATGTAAAGCATATTGATGCTGAATGTGTGTGCACTAATTTTGGAATGGAGATTTTATTTTGCAATTTTATAATTTTGTCTCTAGTATTTTATTTTCTTTTTAAATTATAGTTTAATTTAGAGTCTTACAAAATTGGTGTGCACACCAGTCGACTACATCAGGCCTCGTTGGTGCTCACCCTTGTCTTGTGTGCACCAATTTTGGCATGAATATTTTATTTACAATCTTCGTCAACCAATCCCCAACACATCCGACCAAACTTCTTTTTGGGAGACACGATGTTTCGTTAGTTGACTCTATCCCCATTTCATCATTTCCATCTCCCTCTCCCTTTCCATGACCGAACGTCATAGGTTTGACTAGCCACTTTTGCTTTCTTGCAAATTGCAGGAAGGACTGAAGGAGTGAACATCATCTGTCACCCCCAACCTATGCGGACCCACAAGCCTCTACTAGTTCCTTCCACATCATCCCAAATCACACAACTCTCCAAATATGGATGCAACTCCACCTGCTTCTATATAAATACACTAAAGTCTTCCGCCTATATATCAGGCTTCTCACCTTAACCCGACGACCAACCTATCTCCAACTACAAATGAAAGAGGACCAACCCACAAATCTAGAAGCTTCCTCTATGCTTCACATAACCACCCCAGCTCCACAAGCCAAAGCCAAAGCCAAAGCCATCCATTAAAGCCTCTACCTCTCTTGAATAGAGAAAACAGGTATTGTTGATCACGTGCCTCCTCAACAAGGTCCACAACAGTCAATCGTAACAGTACAACTGCCATCCTACTCATGAACTTACGGTAAAGCCAATCAAGCTTTCTTGGAATGATTCCTTGAAATTCAATTATTTACAAAATAAGTGCCTTTCACTTCTGATTAATCTTTCTTTTATCTCTCATCTATTTTGCTAAACCCATAAGCATGATACCGTTTCCATAAATCAGATAGATTAGATCATTTAATCACTGTCAAAATGATATTTTGAATGTGAAATAACAACAGCAGAGCCTGTCTGACACATATGTAATATTTATCTTTCATAGATATGCAAAATGGCTAAACCTGAGAAACTTCCTTTTCATTAAGCAACAGAAATTAGAATCACATCCAGGTAACAACTATTTGAATGAGCAATTTACCTGAATTTCCAGAGGGTGACCGTGAATCCCCATACGGCGATCTATCATACAAGGACCATCTGTCACTAATAAAGTTGGGAACATATCAAAACCATCAGCAAGACATAACCTAAGAATCATCATAATTCCAGTTTGGACATCAACTCTTTCTTGAACTGAAAGATCACCAGAGCATTTGCCATATGCACGTAACAATATAATCCACCATAGTCCTGGAATTGATATCATAAACCGAATAAAAATTCATGCACGGAATTCTAAAATTAGGATATGTTTATTTCCTTTAATAAGCTAGTTGAACTGATATGTTTATTTACCGGAATCAACAGGTGCAACACGGCCAATCGCGGCCTCTCCAAAGTCGGGATCCAGTACCTCCTCCGTTGCAGAATCATCATCACCATCCAGGGGAACTGTACGCACCTTGAAACTTGCAGGCATCAATCCTTGACCAGGACTATGACAGTCCATAGTTTTTTCCCAGCTCTGCAAAATAAGGACTAAAATGTATAATATTATATTAAGATGTACTTTTTATCTTCTTAAAAGAAAAATTCTCACTATAATTAATTTCAAAAACATAGAAGAAGCAAATGTATCCTTTATGATTTCAGTAATAATTCTTATGACCCATTCTTTAAATCTTTCATAAAAGGTGCGCATCTTATAATAGAAAATCATTTCGACTCAAAGTTAACCCATGCAGTGCATTCATTCACTTACAAGCCACACAACTCGGGCAAGACCACGGAGAGTTAAACTAGAGACCTTTAGTTCTAAAGTGTGCTCATCTTGGCAAACTGAACTACCCATGCAGCTCCATCTCGTCACATTTCAATCTATTTGCTTTATGTTACTTCTTGTAAAGAATAAAACTAATGAAAGAAACAGTGACACATTTTATAGTATTCTGGAGCGTAATACTATTTTCCTGGACCTGGAACATAAATTCCAGAATGGAATCACTAGGACATTGCCATCCTGTGGTAATTATATGTGACCTCAATAGCATCTATTTAAATAAATTAAAAATTTACATAATCTTCATCATTTCTCCTTTGCGTGTATCAATGTTAGGTGAGGAGATTGGTGAATGCTATGAAATAAACTTCCATGCAAAGACACTTGAACTATGATCACTGAAAATTAAACAAACATCAAACTAGTATCTCATTACCATTATGAAGAACAAAACCACCTATGCATTATTATGCCTTTAACAAACCAATTGAAGGAAAACTATTATTTGACCTCTACCAAGGATAAAGTTTAGAATGCATGCCTAAACCATGAACAAACTAAGTGGAAAAAATAGAAGCATTAAGCCATGCATCTTTATTCAAACTAATTACATTTCTAACATAAAACCACAGCAACAAACAACACTATTGATAATTCGGGGAAAATTCAAATAAAAGATTATGAACATGAGAAATTAATATAATTAGTCTGCCGGATCACGTGGGTAAAAGAATTATAAGCATTATATTTACCTGCAGCTGTAATGTATGAAGGATGAAGTTGCGAACAATATCATACTCTCCCTTCAATAAGAAAGCTATACCAGAAGGTATAAAGTCACGGATAAAGACTTGATCATAATTTAGAACATTGGAACTTGTCGGGTCCTTTGCAGCTATTGTTCCAATAGGGCTACCACAATAATTAATCACAGATTCCCGCAGCAGTTCCCACGCCTCATCCTCAAAAGAGCCAACATTACCATTGGATGTAAAGACTTCCTTTTCATGTTTCAATTCTTGAACCTTCTCAAAGTCCAGAACATTTGGGGCATTCACTACACCATTAATTGTATTTAATTTCTTTGCATTATTGACATACCATGTCCCATTTCCATCCTCTGCGGTTACCTCACTTACACTTTCAGCTTGCTGGCAACAGCAACTCAAAAGCCCTGATCGATCTATTAAAATATTTCCATATGGAACTCTGCCTGTTCCTGGAAACAAATTATTGCCAAAGCTACTCTGTAGCCTGCTTGAACAATTGAGAAAATGAATATACCTTGGGCCCCCTTTCTTTCTATATTTAACAAAGGATTTAGAAAGAAAACATGAGCCTGATAAGCTAAAGCTTTTGTCAGAACAGAAAAGGTGAGTTACTGTCCCACCCAAAACCTGAAGAACTGCTTGAGAACTGCTCATTGATATAATCACTATTTGATGAAATGGGCAGTGATTAAAGCAAACCTTTAGGTTGAAGCAAATGCAAGACTTCTGCTTAATTTTGGGGCACCTGAATTAGACACCTTAAAAAACAAAGGAAAATGAAGTTCAAGATTAGAAAAATACCAGATGAATTTCTGTTAAATCAAAATATTGAAAGAACAAAGTCGACACAAAAGTAGAATAGTAGTATGAGAACACAGTACATCATTTGACTTGTTGAATGTTAAACATGCATAAATAATATATTGGTCCATTTTGAGTCTAGGAAAATAAAAACACATTCCAAATAATTGACATCGCTATTTGGGAACCAAGAAAACTAATCTACATTGAGCCGAAGATAACTACTTGTTTTCTAGGAGTGTGTTTTATTTTACGGTGGAGCAAAAACAAAACAACATATAAGACCAAAATTTACTTGCTTAGTTTCCCTTAGTTTTCTCTTCAACCAAACACAAATTAGCAAAATTTTAACTTACTTAAGCTCTAGAGAATGCTTGTAAACTTTTCTATCACATGCTCTACAGAGTTACACAGTGACTTGAATTTACACCTTCAAAATGTTGTATCATAAGTAGCACGGACATGGATATGCTGACATGACAATGTTTAGAAAAGTAAGACACAAAACATGGGGGATATGCACCAAATTTATAACTTTACATTTTATTATATATATATATATATATATATATATGTATAACACCACTAATTTCTAAAGCTCAAATGAGGAATGATTTATAGGCATAAATCTATGTATTTATCATTAGATCCCAAATTTTATTTAGTTCAAACTTTTAAAGTGTTTCATGTATGTCCATGTGATAGACATTTGTGTCCTCCAAGTGGTCAAAGCATGTTTGGGTCTAAATTTATTTTTTTAAATAATAAAACATGTTTGGACGTTTGTCGGGAAATGTCAATGAGCGTCAGTGTTTGACAGGCAACTTTCTTAAAAGCGTTTGTACTTCATAGGTTCCTTAATATTATTTTTCCCACAAGATATCGGTTAGTATGTTAGTAGTTAGGTTACAACGTAGGTCAACGTCTCTCCATAGACTCAAACCTGAAACCTCAAACAACTTGGCACCTAAGTACCCTCTCCATGACCACTTGGGCAATTGCCCGGGGTCTCCTAGGTTGCATTAATAACACATGCAATAAATGATAATATAACATGATTACTGAAAAATTAAGAGCACTCAATATTTTAATGACACATTCCGAAAATTCCAAGATTTCCATAACAACTTGCAGCAGACCCTTCTCCGTCTTGTGCATAAATTTTGCAGTGCCTACAGAACAATCAATAATTCGATATACACTGCACACACACACACACACACACACACACACACACACACATGCATATTTGTCGTATATATAGAAGCAGACCCGCATATAAAAGACTCATTTAACTTAACAGATTCACCAATTTCTTACTTCATTTCCTCAAAACAATTCCAACCTCATCCAGAGGAACATACCCATTTCCTATCACCAACATTTGGTTGATTGAACAACCAATTCCTGGTAAAAATCAAAATATCTACAAAAAAATAAATAAGCAATATTTGTATTCATGCAATCGATAATGAAAAACCCATTAAAATTTAGCTTAATTAGTAGATGAATTTGCAAAGTGCAGACAAATTTAGACATATATTCAAAATATTTAAATTAAAAAAAAACCCAAAAATAAGTAGAAAAAATGTTTATTTACCTGATTGAAGAACAGTATCGAAGAAATGAAATGGGTAGTTATAGAACAAAAAGAAAATCGGAGATTGAGAAGAGTAACTAGAAATGGCGTCTGTGAAGAAGGTATTCGTGTTCCAAAAGATACGCCCAACAATCACTATCGGTATTTTAATAATAAAATCAAAAAAAATTCGTGAAAAATCGGATGAAGTTGATCGCAAGACCGTTCTTCAGTCATTTTCGTCCAGAAGACATGATTGATTTGATTTTTTCATCTTTTGATTTTCCTTTAATTTTAAATATTAAATTTCCGGTTTTAGTTAATTTAGTTTTTTTTAGGGTCAAAAACAAAATAGATATTTATGTACTTTCTCCGTGTTCGCACTTTAAACACGTGGGCGTTACATTACAAAATTAAATTATAAACACACCCTTTAAATTTTATTTAAAAGAAGAATTTGTTAAAAAGTCTAATTTAAGGTATCAGATTTAGTAGATTTTTTTTATTTATTAATGAGAGTTTTATTATTTGTAAAATAATATGGTGATAAATCTTTTTTATTGGTTAAGAGGATATATATATATATATTTCAATTTTACGTCTTCAGTTATTTGTTGATTTCTTTGACTGTCGGTTCAAATATATATTTATTTGTTTAAATGTTTTGATTATCTGTTTAAATTATTTTTTATCTATTTAATTTTTTAACTATTTGTTCAAATATTTTTTCTTATCTATTCAAATTTTTTGACTATCTGTTCAAATTATTATTTTTATCTATTTAATTTTTCAATTATATGGTCAAATATTTTTAATTATTTGTTCAAATACATGTCCAAATAAAATCTATCTGTTGAAATTTATCGATTCAAAAATTCTGTTTGTCCAATTATCTATTGAATTCTACCATTTTTGTCCAAAATTTATTATCTGCTAATTTTTTTTTTTCTTGAATTTTTTATATCTTCAATTTTTTTTTACAGATTTGCAACAACCACAATCACAACTATAAAAAAATAAAAAATAAATTAAAAACTCTACAATAGAGACATTTACGATCTCCTCAAACAACATTCAGAATAACTTAGAGAGAGAGGATAGAGAGAATATATATACACACACATATATGTATTTTTGAGAACATGAAAATCTGTTAAGCCCTAGATTTATACGGTCCGACTTACGTGAATAAATCACCCAATGATGAACAATAAAATGACAACTCTCATACAAATGAATATAATATAGTCATACAATACATGTGTTTATTCGATTTTATACATTCCTAGATACAACATTTACGTCGAATGGATGTTCTGTAACTAAAAACATATACATGTGTTATAAATTAAATTGAACATCCTGAAGCTTATATCATACACAAAGGTGTAACTATTATAAGAATGACACACGGCCAATAAATAACATAAATGGCCAATGACCTACAAATAACTAAACCACCCTATACGGTTCTGAACACAACTTCACGTCATAGTCCACATTCACACATGTACACCTAAAAAATATTTTCAGCCACGTAGGGTGATCATAAAGTCCATTAGAGAATATTTCAAAAACTAAACATGCTCCACCAGCATAAATGATCATGATGCAATACATATATACAATATGCCCAAATGTATTTTTAAATCCATTTGATTTCTTAACAAAATCCTTTCTTTCCAATAATCAAAACCTTACGTTTAATCCAAAAATTTTCCAAGTTCAAATCATCCGTTTGATAATAAATCCCTTTCCAAAAATCGATCTAGGTATCTTAATACCAACTAATAAATACATTGCTAAATAAAATGTGAATACATTGCTAAAACCTTTTTCCAAAGCATTCTTTTAAGCTAAAACGATAATAAAATGGATCAATCTCTAGGGCTAGTGTTCATACAAGTAACTATACAAGTCACAAGGTCATTTTTACTAGTGCTAATCGGAAGGCTCAACACCTACCACGCGGATTTAGGTCTTTCACCATGGACACACAAGCCAACTTAATTTTGCTTTAACACTCCCTCATAACTTTACTACTTTTTTTTTTTTTTTTACCTTTTTCCAATAGCACAATACATGCGGTTCAAAATATTATTTTCCAAAATAATGCAAATGTTCCAAAACCTTTTTCCAAGCATACGATTTTAAATTCCAAAAATCCATTACATGCTCCATGATATGAATGATTTCAAATTGCCTAATCCGCATGCAACTTCTAACACACGGCAATGTTATCCTCCGCCGATAGCCAAAACAGTCATCTCTAATGCAATAACTAAAAGATAACAGTATAGATATATTTTCCAAAAGTGTAACAACACTCATTTTCAAAATCCTACAACCATTTTCTTCCCATTTCTTTCCAACCAAACCATTTACCAAAATCAATCTAACTCCCAAAACAATATTATTTAGGGTTTGTCTACAAATTGGGGCTTTTCCACTTTTAGAAATCCATATGCAGTTTTGATTATTGAAAATAATTGTAGTAGCAAAATTATAGCCCAACAATCCCCTAATTTCACAAAACCCTCAAGCCCAAAATAACATTTCAAAATCAACCAAATTACTACCAAATATAAATAATAAAAATACGCCACAAATATGCTACCAAACTCATATTGAGTTTAGGAAATAGACCATTCCTCTTGAAAAGAAGAGGAGAACTCTAAAAAACTCAAAGTTGATGAAACCACAAAACTCTAGATCAAAAGAAAGCTCTTGACAAGATCTACAATCCTTCTCAAAGGACCAAGGTGAAAAGATGTCTTTAACTAAGTAGATCTAGAGATCTATGTAAGAAAAGTTGAGTTTCTAAGAGAGAGAGAGAGATTCACAGTCTAAAGAGAGAGAAGAAAAAATAAATGAGAAAAGTGTCTTTGGGGTCTATTTATAGCGGTAGAATAATAGCCCTCAAGTCAAAGAAAAGAATAAGTCAAACCCCCAAAAAGTTGGCCCAAAACTGAACCAAAATTTCTGAAAATAACTCACAGGGGTTGACCCTCAAGACAGTGTTGTCGACCCTCAAGAAGAAAGTGTTGAGACACTAATGTGTGTAGCAGACAAGGGTCGATCCTAGGAACCAGTGATGTTGACCCTATATTTCAGTAGTCACACCAGAACATGGCAGTAGACAAGGGTTGACCTTGGGACCTCGTGGTGTCGACCCTATAAACCAGTAGAGACACTAAGAGCAAGGTAGCAAGATGGCGTCGACACCCAAGAAGACTAGTGTTGACACTAGAACAATTTTTCCAAGTTCCCAAAGAACTTTTCAACAAAAACAAGCGTGAACGAACAATCCCAACAAGTTTAAATCGAATTGTACTCCTTCAAAACCAAGATATAACAACTCCAAAGACTCTCAAAATGAAAGTAAAGGAATTAAATACACTCTCTAATAGTTTAAAGGACACAAGTGCTACAAAATCTCACATTTATAAATAAAGTAGAAGCAAACACTAGTAGCAATATACCACTTGCCCGGTCGTGTGAGGACGACAAATGTGGAAGAGTTGAGATCTCTACTGGCTATCCGTGTGAGGACAGAAAAATGTGGAATTGGACAACAAATATGAAAAGTGTGAGGTGCCCACTGGCCATCCGTGTGAGGATAGAAAAATGTGAAATTGGTTAATAAATGTGGGATTGGTTGGAAAGGTTATATATACTCATGTGGATTTGTTTTGAATAAAAGTCCTGGAGCAATAGATTTTGGGTTACACATGATTATAACAAATGTTTATATACCTTGTTAAATGTATTATCTACTAGGCATTAGCTCATTCCTATCATGACAAACATTTTAGGTTGTGAGGATATGCCTCCACTCAGCTAGGAATTGGTAGAGATTTTGATGGAGCACAAAAGTTTATTTTGGATGTTTTATGTGATTACAGCTAGTGGGCTTAAGTGTTTGGGCATTTGGTCGTATCTTTTTTATTTTTTGAACTAGAATGTATGAGTATTGACATTGTTAATGTTGTAAAATGAAATGTAACTTTTATGAGAAAGATAAACAATGAACTTGTGTAATCGTTGTACGCTGAGTTATTTTCTATAATCCTTTTTTATATTTTGAAAATGGAGATTGATAAAGGTTCGATAATTATAAAATGGATTAAAAGATCGAGACGTTACAATAACTCTTTCCTATACACATTCAAGACTACCCAAATCACAATTATGTCAATAATTGCTTTTACAATGTTCTTTAGAACAAAAATGAAATTGGGTCAACTAGCAGATGGATGTAAATTTTATGGTGCAGTGCTTTTGGTCTTTTGAGAGTGATGTTTAGTGGGATGACTGAGGTCACCTTGACTACTATGGCACTTCATGTTTCTTTAAACAAAGGGATTATTTGTTTTTCCCAACATGGGCTTTTGCTCTACCAATTTGGCTTCTTTGTATCCTTGTCTCACTTTTGGAAACAGGAATAATGCTCATTCTCACATACTATACTATCAGATTTGCTCCTGCTGCTAGTAGGTATATATATGCCCTTGCACTTCCATTCTTAAAGCATAAATTAGTAGCTTTCCATGTTGCAATCATAGCATGTTAGATTTCCAGACCGAAAAAGAGCTTATTTTTTTTATTTTTTGTTTTTTCTGTTTAATGTCAATGTATTTCAGGTTTTTCGGTCAATTGTTGGTATTAGTTGGTGTGCATCAGATGGCATTGTCTCTCTTCTGTTTCATTGTAACCCTAGGAAGAACACACATTGTTGCAAGCACTTTGGGTACCTTTGTATTGCTAATTGTTTTTGTCCTAGGTAGATTCATTGTTGCCAAAGGTTAGTACTATTGATCTTTTTCTTTGTAGAAGTAAACTGATTTTGTAGAACACTAATAATCTGATGTAGTTAATACTATTTGACATCTGGTGAAACTTATTGAACTTGCCATGAGGATATATCATATTTGTGATACTATTTGACAACCATTATTATCTACACTTGTAGATGACCTTCCACCATGGACAATATGGGCTATTGTATATCTCTTATGATGTATGGACAAAATGCTATATCCATGAATGAATTTCTTAATAAAAGATGGAGCATGGTATGCTCAGCTATTATCTTTATAACCAATTATTTTCCTCTTCAATTGAGTTGAAATTCAGGTTGATTAGCTGAAGATATGCTAATTATTTATTTATTTTTTTCATATCCAAATAGCGACATGAGATTTCCTGAGCCTACAATTGGAAAGGTTCTCCTTAAGGCTAGGGGTATGTTTGTGGATGAATATATGTTTTGGGTTTGCATTGCTGTACTCTTTGG